ACATTAGGAAACAAAACTTCAAGACCATGGCCACACAGCCCGGAAGACCCACACCAGCCATCTCTGCATAGTTTCTTCAAAGTCATCTCTGTAGCTTTGTACAATTTCGGATGGACTCTTCTCTTGCTGTAATAGCCATCCTCTTTTCAATTTCAGTTTCCTCATTGTCTGTGGGAGCTTAGCTTTTAGGATATGTTGATATTTAATTGAATCCATTCTTCTTCTATGACCACAAAGTTTCCTGTGCCACTGGCTGCCTTTCAACCCCAGCCCATAATAGAGCTTACAACCCTGTAATATTTGGCAAGGTGTTTTTTTTTTTTCCTTCTTCTTGAAATGCTTCTCCTTTTCCTTCATGTATATCTTGTGAAGTTGTGGCTAAATGCTTTAATTTTTTGTTTCATCCGTCCAAAACATTTTGTTCTAACCTTTTTCAGGCTTTCAGTGTTTCTCTTTGCATACTTTAGATGATGACTTTGGTGAGGTCAGAGAAGCAGAATCCTTCTGACAACTCTTCCACACAGACCATTGTTGTTTAAGCAGCCTGGGGGGAACTGTTCTAGGGTCAGCTAACATTTTCCACAGGTTGTTTGCAATAATCTGTGGATTTTGTTTCTGTCAGCCCCACTAGGTCAACCAAACCAGGAAATCAACTCCACAGGAAGGATAAAACTACTTTTACTGACATTAGCTATAATAAGAGAATCTTGCAAGTCAGATTGTGCTGACCTCCTCCTCCTTCTTACACTCCAATGAATTAGGTGTCTGACTGAGCTGCCTCTGAATGTTATCTCATTGTGGACTTTAAAAATGCTTCAGCCCTTTTTGGATCTGTCAAGGTCATTGTTAGTTCTCCAAAGTAGTCCAGACCAGAAGCACAACCTGGAGTACTAACTCTATCTTTATTGTAATCTTACATCAACAGAATGTTGTAAGACTGAAAGTATTTCTCCCCTCCTTTCCTTTTACTCTCCAGAAAATTAGGGAGGGTCCCTTCTGAAATGTTTCCCACATGCGCTCTTTACATGCCGGTTGTCCAGTCGGTGGTTCTCCCTCCTGTCTCCCAAGGTCATTCCCACAAAGCATTACAGTCATCTTCATCCTCTACAGTTTTGCAGTTCTGACTACCTTTAGCACACTTCCAGTAGAAATTTTTCTTTGTTTTCCAGATCTTCAAAAATTCCATGTACCTTCCATTGCTTCTTTTTTACAAATGAAATTGTTGGCTGGAAGTGTTCAGAGATTCTTTTATAGCCATTCTCTGCTTTCTACTAGTAAAGTTTCTTTACTTTCAAAGGCTCAAACAACTACTTTGAGGCGCCCGAGGTTTCTGAAAGGAGAAAAAACAACCATTCCTGCCTGACAGGTTAGAAGGGTCAGCCTATTTGATAGGTTGTGAAATTGTCTTCACTTGGCTAATTGTAGGCCTAATGAGTCAATCACCTTTGGGTGGCCTTAATAATAACTTGACTATATAGTAAAAAACACCAACATACACACACACTGAGTCAACTGGAAGTGTGTCACCTCTTCTGCTCCTGCTACACTATTTCCTTATTTTGAATCTGTGAACAACTGCATATAAATAGTAAACATGTGTTCACATTTGCAGAAAGATTTTGTGCTTAGCTTTGTACCATACAGAGATTGGATCAGCTTAGGTTCACTTAGGAATTCACTGAAACGTAGAATTTGACTGAGGGGCCTAAACGTTTGCATCTAACTGTAATGGATATTAGACTCTCTTCCTTTATAAATTAAGATTCTTCTATTTTATATATTTCAGATGTATTAATCCACAGCTGAAATCTTTTGCCCTGGGCATCTATACTTTAACTATAAGAGTCCTTGGTAAGTAAAAGGTAACATTTCTTTGTGAGTTGGCATGATTCCTAGATGACTACCTAGCCATATCCATCTGACCTTTTCAACAACAACATGGAAGTTGTCTACCATTGTCTTTTTCTAGAATATTTTTTCAACTTCCCAGCCTAGCCTAGCCTAGTCCTGAGATTTCCTGATTGCCCCTCATATAGGTTTTAACATATCCAACCCTGCTTAGCTTTTTAAGTCCCTTATTTTCTTCTAGATCTCCTCAATATTCTTAGTTTAAAATATAATTGACCATAAGATATGATACAGAAATGTGCTTAGGAAAATAATATTCTCTAGCAGAGATGGGAAATGGACCCTGAAATTTGTATTACAGTTTCTGGGGCCTGTCCAATTATGCCACTGAAAATCTGAGGTATTCTAGCAAGCATTGATAATGGTATCAGTAGTCAGGGTCAGATTTTTGACCATTTGGAAACATTTCTAAGGAACTATTGGGTGTAGGTGTGTTAAGTCAATGACAGCCTTAACACAAACTTCCTTTTGTTTTCTGGGAGATGAAAATTAATTAGAAAAACTACCCTCTATTGGCAACCTGCTAACAAATGTTGGTGGGACAATTTGGAGGGACTTTGGGAGAAGACCAGAGAAAGGGTGGGACTAAGGGTCATTAAACACATGGGAGGATAGTTCTGGGCAGGACTATTCTACCCGTGTTCTAGACAGGAGTTCTTTGGGAGGTTTTTTAACACTGATATCTTGATTTTAAGGTATATATTCCAGTTTTCATTTTTTTCTTACCATAAAATAGCAAGACACTGCAAGATTCATTTTCAGCAATCATGGGCAAAAATAGGTCCAAATGCAATAAAAAGGAGACAGGACCAGCAGTTGCCCACCTATGATACAGGAAGAAAAACTCATCAAAATGCAGACAGTTGGTCTTCTCCATGTAATGTTTCGCTTGTCTAGTTGGAAGCATTTGGTAACAAATATGCCAATGAACAATTTATTAGAAGAATGCACACATAACAGCATTTGAAATACAAATATAGTAATTCTTTATTTCTCTTTCTTCTTCTTCCTCTCCTCCTCCTCCTCCTCCTCCTCCTCCTCCTCCTCCTTTTGTAATGCAGCAGGAATTCCTGCTCCAGTGTACTTTGGAGTATCTCTAGATACAACTTGCCTCAGATGGGGAAGCAAAAGATGTGGAGGTCAAGGAGCTTGTAGACTGTATGATTCTAATGCCTTTAGGTAACTTAATAATTTCTTCTCCATAACTCTCAATAGAATATCATTTGCAGGACTGCCCCTCTCTGGTTATTTCTGCCCAGCCCACTGCACAGGGTGAGCATGCTCCAGGTCCCTTCCTTGAGGCAGTGTCATCTTATGGGACCCAGGAGACATGCCTTTCCTGTTGCTGTACCTGCTTTTTTGAATAAGCTCTTCCCTGATACAGAGTTGGCCACAAAACTGTTTCCTTTCTTAGAGACAGGAAGACCTGGCTGTTCTCCAGGTGTTGGGCAGAAAGGTACTTGAGCTCACATTGTTAAGAAAGAGAGTGGTTATTATTTCCAGGCTTGGCTATCTATGTATGTATGATTGTATATTGCTTGTATATTTCTATGCCAGATAGTCATGAACTATGGATTGAGGGGCCTTATAATTCAAATAAATAAATAAATGTATGTATGTATCTCATGGCTGTGAATGCCAACAGTCCACAGCAGCTGGTCTACTCTGATTCGAAGTGGACAGGAAGAGTCCCAGGTTCCTCAGGCTCCCATTGGCTTTGGGGTGTCACCCCCATTGATCAGAAGCGGCAGCAGATTATGTAGTTAGCACTAAGGCTTTGATAGCAAACAATGCAGTTCTGCCAACAATCAAAGTACACAGGCTGGTTTTATTCTGCTCCTGTCCCTTTAGCTTCCAGACACAGAGCTTGTCAAAACATAGCAAGGTATGGCAGATACCAAATGGAAGACTATCTTCACAATAAGAAGGGGGACTAAACAGGAGAGGAGTTGGGAAGAAATCCAAGTATGGCATCTTTAAGCAAGGTTTTCTTATTTTAGATACCTTGTAATCAACAACAGAGCCATGGACATTGATGGGAGGGGAGCAGGGAGGAAGCAACAATCATCATGATGTTGCAACACAAACTCTGTTCCTTAAGTATTTGTGTATGACATCACAAAGCAAGTATGAAAGATTTGAGCTTGCTTCATGATGTCACAACACACATTTTGTTATTCTGGTGTCATCATGGTTAGTCACGTGAGCCTATGAAGAGAGCCCTTTTTGATTATGTGCCAGTAAGTCGGTGCCAATTCTTAGATCTCCTCCACAATGATTTGTCCCCAACCTGGTCCTTCAGGTCTTCTAATAGTGTACCCATCACTGCTGCAATTGAGTCCATCCACCTTGATGCTGGTTGTCCTCTTCTTTTCTTTCTTTCCACCTTTCCCAGTATTATGGAACTGGGTCTTTACATAATATGAAGAAAGAAAGATCAGATTACAAAGAGATGATCTAATAAAAGCAGGCAGATTAAATATTTAAGTAAAGTTTACACTGCCTGCTTTGTAATGGATGTCTTCCTAAATGGGAGAGTCTGACAAACAATGATGAGCTACCAGCTACCCAGTTTCCTGAGATGGGGAGTTCCATAGTCAAGGTGTGGTCAGTGGGAAGGCACTTTCCCACATCAGTGATGCCTCAGCTATAACTGGGACAGAGAGCAGGGACCATGATGGTCCTTAAGTGTGGACCAAAGTCCTTTAGAGGGAATTGCTTCTGAACATACTTCCACTTGGGCTGATTTTACCTGAAAGGAAGACCATTTGTCCTCCATATTATTTACCTTTAAATGGGTGGATCATGTCAGCTTCACTGAGTCTACAATAATAGCAACAAACAAAGGTTGTTGTTTTTTTATGCCTAACCTTTTCTTGCATGGAACATCAGATCGTCATTCAGAGGTGTCTTCCTTTGGTCTAAGTACAATACTTGGTCCCTTCATCCTTTATGTTCAGAAGTAAGTGCATCAAGTCAGGGCCCAGAATGGAATGATAAAAGACCTTCATTTCCTGTCCTATCAAATGCAGCTCCTTGTGCAATTACCTTCTTTCTTGACGAACAGCTCAAAACCACTTCTCTGCAGTAGCATTGCATGCTCTGTCACCTCTTTTACAAGCTAGGTTCTCCATAACCAGACACATAAACGAGTGTTTTTTCCAAAAAGCAAACAATGAGTTTCAGTAACATAATGCAACAACTCACTGATATAACTAATGGATTCAGTGCCTCTCTCAACCTATTGCAGATACATCTACCTTGGTTTGACGATTGTTTTGGGCACAGTGTCCACCATCCTAAGTGTTGCAGTCTTGATCGTTCTAAAGAAGAAGTCCATCTCCCCATCAAACAAAACTCCTGCAAGCAGCAGAGAGAGAGAATCTACCTCGGTGAAAAAACGGAAAAGTGACTTTGTCAAGAGCAACCACTTGATTCAGACCACCTACTGGACAGAAAAAGAAACACAACTTTAGGAAGACTTGCTGTATATTCAAGGAGAAATTTGTCTGAAGCTGGAGCTTCTAGCACAGTATTTTTCAAACTTGGCAACTTTAAGATGTGTGGACTTCAACTCCAGAATTCCTGGCTGGGGAATGCTGGCTGGGAATGCTGGGAGTTGAAGTCTGCACATCTTAAAGTTGCCAAGTTTGAAAAACACTGTTCTAACACAATCCATTACATATTAATGTGCTGGAATATGGGAGGAGGAAGCGGGGGGATGTTTCCTTTTAATAAATTGGTCAGAGGGTAAATGCCAACTTACTTCTTGAATTTTCTAAAGGCTTGAATACTCATGTTTGCATTTGGCTTTGTGGATTAGAAAACATGCAAAGCAAAATCCCCCATTTTCTACTTCTAAGGAAAGTTGATGGATAAAGGAATGGCATTCTTCTAGTGCAGTATGAGAAAGCCCTTTTTTTTGAGCATTTGGAATGGCTGACTTGCAACTGAGGCAGTGCAGTTCAGAAATAATTAAGAACATAAGAGCCCTAAAACCAAAGGTCATCTCCTCTATTCTTCTGTTCCTGCAATGGCCAACCAGACGCCAACAGGAAATCAGCCCATGAATGCAAAATCAACTCCAGATTCCTAGCAACTGGTTCTGAGATGACCTCTGCTTCTGCTAATGGTGGTGATATTTAGTCACCATGATTACTAGGTCAGTACCTCGTAATCATGGTGGCTAAATATCACCATTAGCTCTACCATCACCATCATACCTCTGTGTTCTATAGGCCATCTCATTTGCCATTATGCTCCACAATCTAATTCAGCCTTCCCTTCCCTTCCAGATGCATGGACATGAACTCTCAGCTTTCTTTCAGGAATAACCATGCTGGATGGGGAATTTTGCAACTTGGTCCACCCATCCAGGAGTAACCCAACTGGAGAAGGCTGAAAGAATCATAATAATTATTCCCATGTTTGTTGTTCTTTCCATGTACAAAAAAAGGAGTCATGAAGGAACTCTTCCTTACCATTCCAAGGGTACAACCACATCTTTTTTCTACTTAAAGGCTAGAGCAGGAATCTCAAATTTCTCCATACCTCTTGGTTTTTCTGAAAGGATTAAATATGGTACAGACTACCTATTCTCATGTTTGTAACTTTCTTATCATAGATGTCTTCATTCATAACTTATAGCATCTTTCCGAATCCTCCAACTAATGTACCATCATAACAGTAATGAGAACTAGTTTTATATTGCTTCCAGAATGGGTGGGTGATGCTATAAAAATGCTGTGGAAGTGTGGAAGTGACCTCAGGAAGAACAAATGGAGAGGAGAAAATGCTGCTCTTGCATTTTTTGTACAGTTCAGCAAAGAATGCCTATGGAGAAGGTAGCCTTTTTCTATCCATTCATCAACATTAAAAGGTTATGGATGACAGACTGTATAACCCTGCTGCAGATGTGTGGGATAGGAAGAGCCTTGTGATACAGAGGTGGTGCAGATGTGTGAAATAAGCCCCTCCTTTTCAGAGAAACTATTCTGGAAAGGCCACAAGCAGGACATAATTCTGATAGTGCTCTCCTGTTATTTTTTCCCCCCAGTATAATTGGGGTTATTGGGCCATTGCAGCTAATAATCATTAATTGTTATTTTAATGGTCTTCTATTCTTTTTTTGCTTTAACAGTTTTTGGGAAAAAATGGTAAAGAGTTGCTATCACTTCATTAAAATCCTAGACAAGATATCCTTGTTGTCCATACAGTTGGTCATTCGTGCAGTTTCTCCCCCTAAAGTCAGTGGGCTTGAAGTTTAAAAAAAAAAAAAAAAAGTTAAGATTTGCTGTGCAATCCAAAACATTCTTAGCTAATAAATCCCACCAAATGCTGAAGGACTCACTTGTAAGTAAATATACCAGCATCAGGCTATTGGGGAAAGATTGTGGATGAATGTAGGACAGGAAATTTTCATGGAGGCTGTTTTCTCCCTGGTGAAATTAGGTTCTCCCTGCGGGTATTTATGATAGCAGGATGGCATGGATGGTTCTCTGGGTGGTCCTCGGTAACAAGCTGATGTAAATGTGCATTGAACTTCTGTGCCATGGACACCCATCTGACAGCATAATCTAAGGATCTCTGAATTCTAAAACCCTGAAGTGAGAAATATGTAGCCTGGGGCCTCATCTGTCTATCGTTCCCTTTTGCTGTATCCTCTAAAGATACAGCAGAGATCATACCGTTGAATTTTATAGCTCTTCTGTGGTATCACTGCCTGACATGCTATATGAGACCAAGGTAAGCCAAGCCCACCCCTAAATTCTCAGAAATCTCCCTTGTCCCTGAAAGGATCCCCCAAATCCCTACTCTTCACAAGACAAAGAGTCTGTAAAAAATAGGGAGAGGGGTTCAAAATAGCATTATTTGTCCCAGGAGTCTATGAAAATGTGGAGTCCTTGGTGCTCTCTGAGCTTAGCTGTTTGCTTGCAGATGTTTCGTGACCCAACCAGGTAACATCATCAGTGCTAGTAAGTGTGGGGTTCGCTCCCTGTTTATATACAGTAGCTTCTCTTCTATTGGATCTATGCAAAACTAAGGAGCAGAAAGCCTGCTTTTTCTAAAAAAAAAAAAAAAAAAAAAACTTAAAATGAAGATGACATTTTTGAAAGAGGCAGAATTCTGTCCCACTTTCAATTTTTGGACTGTGTTATTTGTCTTTTTTGCACAATGTATAAAAGGATTATGGAACTGCGAGTTTGAAAAATGACTTTGAGAGGAAATTAAAATGCATTCCATGAGTGTTGCCTATGACTCTGGTTTTCTATCATCACAATCCAAAGATTGTGGATGAATGTAGGACAGGAAATTTTCATGGAGGCTGTTTTCTCCCTGGTGAAATTAGGTTCTCCCTGCGGGTATTTATGATAGCAGGATGGCATGGATGGTTCTCTGGGTGGTCCTTGGTAACAAGCTAATGTAAATGTGCATTGAACTTCTGTGCCATGGACACCCATCTGACAGCATAATCTAAGGATCACTGAATCAGTGCAGTCTTCAGGGTGAGTGTGTGCATATAATTGAAGTATAGGAGGTCAGGAAGGCTTCAGAATAATGGAAAACAAGACAGGAGCATTCTCTCCCATCCCATCCCAAAAGGCAGGGCAGAAACACTAACCAAGAGAAATTTGAAAGAAACACTCAAGTTTTCTGATATTTAAATTTTAAAAAAACCAAACACTTTCACAAGGGAAGGAAAGGGTGAAGAATTGCAAGGCAGAACTTGGAACAGCATGAATGGCTAGATATCTGGCAAGTCCAGCTCTTAGTCCAGTGAAGACACAGTGTGCAACAGTTACACATCCAAGAAGATGTATACTGTTCATCATAAACTGTATATTGTACACCATAACACTGAAAGAAAATCCAGATAATCCAACACATTTTCAGGTTCTGGCATGAAACATTTCTATGAGCTGGGCTTCAACCTTGCACAGGTTCACTCTTGGCCTTCACCCCATCTCAGTCGGAGCAGTTGATTTTGGCTCACTTCCCAGTTCAAGAATGCCAGCGCTGATTTCTGCCTGTTTCCAGGCCATAAGAATGTAGCTGCCTTCTCAGCTTTAGCTCAGAATTGTTCAGCTAATCCACAGGCACAGAAACAACCTGTAGACTGGCTAAGAAAGAAAGGCCATTTTCTCCTTTGACAGTCTCTCACAGCAGACACCTAGCTGGTTGTTTCAGCCCCAGCCACCACAAAGACGCAAAAGGTAAACCTTGATTTTGAGGTCTCTAAACTTCCATTTCCCATTTCCCCCCAACATCTCCTCTTTCCATGAAGCAGAAAGTTTCTAATAGGCTCTCTGTTATTTTCTCTAGCATAAAGTGCTTTTATTTTCATTCCATAGCGTAATTAATAGCAGCAGAAAGCCCATATGCTGGGCTGTTTGCTTGATGGCCTCAATTTCCTACAATATAAATGTCCCATGTAATTGGGGGCTGGCCCTAATTTTCCAGTCATGGTTCCTGGTAAATTTTGTCTTTGTTTTCTTTCCTTCTTGGGAGTAACTCCTTAAATGATGTAGGCAGGACTTGCTGTTGTTGACATTCTTCTCCCCACTCCAGTTCTCCCTTTGTTGAGTCATTTGGATGGCAAGATTTGCCCTGCCATTACACTGAGGAAGTAAATTCAAGGAGCTGATTAGTGAGAGACAGTGAACAGTAGTGAAATAATTCAGGTCTATATATGCTAGGCAACCTGTTTGTCCTGTGGTTGAGCCCCATTGTTTAATTAACACCTGGAAGAGAGGCTGCTTAGACGAGCTAGCTCTTCCCATTTACTCTTGCAAGCTGCAAGATAACAAACTTTCTGCTCTAAATTCAAATAGGAAGTTATTTCCCTCTTTTGTCGTGCCCAGTACCTGTTAAACCCTTAACCCTCATGAATCTGTAACCTTCCCTTGCAGATGCCTAAACTAAGCAACTCTGGGGATGGAGGGGAAAAGAGAGGTCGCAGAGCTATAAGACTTGCCCAACAACAGCAACCCCTTTGTGAGTCAAATTTTGGAGACTGTCCTTGCTGTTTGGGGTCACTGCAGCAGATTAGCAGATTACATGCTGGTGCTGTAAGCAATTAACTGAGCAATTTAAATACTATAAACATGATGCTGTTTGTTTCAGTCCTGGTGCCTCCTTGAATGTCCTCCTGCTTTGGTATCCGTCCTGCAATGCAAGAATTTCAGGAAACACTGTTCTGTGCCTTTTAAGATATCCTATTTCTCTCATGGTGCAGGACATTGTTTCATTACTCAGTGGGAGTAAGCAGTAATGCTGGCTGGGGAATTCTGGGAATTGAAGTCCACACATCTTAAAGTTGCCATGGTTGAGAAACACTACATTTGATCCTGCACATGGAAGATAGAGGCATTCTCTTGACCTTTAATTCACACCAGCCCAGTAGGGAAGACATCAGAATCACAGAATTCTGGCAATGGAGGTCTTTTAGTCTAACCCCCTGCCCAGGACAGGAATCTTCAGACCATCCCTGACCAATGGCTGTCCAGCCTTGGCTTGAAAGCCCCCGCAATTCCAGGAAGCAGGCTTAATAGCTCTCACAGGAATTTCCTCCTAATTTCAAGGTCTCCTTCTATAAAGCTTTCACCCATTGGTTCTTGCCCTACCCTCAGGTGTGGTGAAAAATAAAACCACACCATCTCCCCATGACAGACCTTCAACTATGAGGACACTGCCAGGATTCTCTCTTTACTCTTATTTTCTTTAGCGTAAACATATCCAGTTCTTTTATGTTCTTCACAGAATTTAGCCTTCAAGCTCCTTACCGTAGGTGTCACTCTCTTCTGCATTCTTTCCAGTTCCTCAGCATCCTTCTTGTATTATGGCAACCAAAACTGTATTCCAAGCATGGTCTGACCAGGGCAGCTTGAGTGGAACTATCACTTCCCACGATCTTGACATCATATCCCTATTAGTGCAGCCCAAGATTGCACTGGTCCTTTTGGCAGGTGCAGCACACTTCTGGTTCATGCTTAATCTGTGGTCTACCTAGATCCTTCTCACAAATACTATTGCTAAGCCAGCTTCTGCCAATCTTGTACCTGTGCATCCTGCACCCAGTACAGAACCTTATATTTTTTACCACTGAACTGCAGACTGTTTGGAAAAGCACAATCTTCAAGTCTATCAGGATCTTTGAACCTTGCGTCTGTCTTTTGAGATGTCTTCAATCCTCCCCCAACTTTTTGTCATCTGCAAATTTGCTGAGCATTCCTTCTGTCCCCTCATCTAAGTCATGTGTGAAAATGTGGAACCAGGACAGAACCCTGAAGTACTCCACTGCATACCTCCCTTCAGACAGACACAGATTCATCCATATGTCCCTTTTAGCAAATGTTTTCAACCATTTATTTGAAGCACCTTTTATTTGAAGAGCTATCAGAGGGCAATTGCTTTCACTTGAAGATGATCTCTGTTAGAAGGGCTAATGAGTTCAAATTTGGTTTTAAAATAAGGAACCATCAAGTGAGAGAATCCAGTTGTTGGATGCATCATCTCTGTCTACCAAATAGTTTCTTTCATGGCACAGACTAGAGGAAGGTTAATTTGGTGTCTACTTTCCATCTTTACTATGCTACTATTATATACATAAAAGGGCTAAAGCTCGGATAACCAAAGGCCATTCATTTTGGGAATGTCCATGCCAGAATTCTTTCCACTGGCTCTAGATGATAGATTGATTATGTGCCATCAAGTCATTTTTGATTCCTAGTGACCACATAGATAGATTTACTCCATGGCGATCTGTCCCTAACCTGGTCTTTAACCACTGCACCCTCAGGCCTGTTTTTCCCAACTCACTTTTTCTGCCCTGGCTGTTAGATTTTGTCAGTCTTTTTAAACAACTGTTTCACATGAACTGAACAAAACAAGCTACTTAACACTGCTGATTCTGTTCCTGCCCATTGCATAATATCATTGTTCAATTAGAGGGCATGATGCTCCCCAAACAGCTTTAGAAAGAGTGCCTTGTCTGGTTATCAGAAAGTTAAACAGGATAGGAAGACTAAACCTGCAATTTGCTTTACAGGTAGTTCTCACTTAACAATCATTCGTTCAGTGACTGTTTGAAGTTACAATGGTGCTGAACAAAGGGACTTACAACTGGTCCTCACACTTCCAACCGTTGCACCACCCCTGTGGTCCCATGATCACAATCTGGGCACTTGGCAACCAGCTTTCACTTTTGATGGTTTCAGCATCCCAGGATCACGTGATTGCCATTTGCGACCTTCCCAGTTGGCTTCCAGCAAACAAAATCAGTGGGGAACCATATGATTTGCTTAACAACTACATGATTCGCTTAACAGCTGCAGTGATTCGCTTAATGACCACTGCAAAAAAGGTCGTAAAATTGGGTGTAACTCGCTTAACAACTGCCCCACTTAACAATGAATTTTCCAGTCCCTATTGTGGTTGTTAAGTGAGGACTACCTGTATTTGGAAATGTGGGACTATCTGTTCTTGAAAAAGCTAGTGCTTGGATGGAAAAACATCTGGAGATCCTTGGGCTGCAGGCTAGACTGGGAACAAAAATCCCAATAAGGCAATAACAAAGCAATGTTAAGGAAGTTTAAGCATTCAAAAGAGATTAACAAAACAGATTATATGGTAGAATAATAATTTACAAGGAAAAACATTCTCCTTGTAAATCACCTATCCCCATCTTTCTAGAAATCAGTAGAGGATTTTTCTGGGATAGGATATTTGAATAAAAAGGAGCATTCTGCTCACTTATTCTATTATTTTCCCATCAGCTAGATGGATACTTTTTCTTTGGAAGAGACTTGAATGAAACAAAAACAGAAATCAAAAGAAACAATGAGCATTTTTCCTTATTCAAACACATCCAGTGGTGTTTTCAAAGCAAGGACACTAATATGATTACATTCAGTACATTTTTTCCTAGAATGTTTATTTTAAAAAAATGTTGGGGGGATGAGATGTTTCATTTATTTTAGAAAGCTAGGGAAGTTAATGATTTCCTGAATGGACTTCAGAATCACCTCATCTGAAGAGAGCAGTGCTCCTGCAACATTATGCCCATGATACCATAACTGTTGCAGAATTGGACCTATAACCCAGGTAAGCTAACTTTTACTTCTTCTTGGATATAGTGGAATGCACTGGTGACTACTGGACTTCCACCGAGCACTTGTACAGACAGGACTTGCATTTGCTGACTAAAGCAATATGTTGGTTTTGGATTTTCTTCTTGGAATTGTGTTGATTCAATAGAATGGGGGAGGCTGAGTGCCCTCATATATTTCTGGTAATTTCACCTTGGAGAACTCTTTACATCATGTTGACTTACTTCTACAAAAAAAGTAATAGGGTTTACTAATTTTTCAACTGCCCCCTGTTACTGGGCCATAACAGCAACTTCATCCAGAGACCTTCACAGCTTATCCTGTTTATTTATCCTTTTCCCACCCAATGAAAGAAATTCCCTTGCTTAATTTGCGGCATGTTGAGGATGTCTCCTACACAACTTCTGTAAAGTCTCACTGAAATAGATTCAGTTGGAAATCCTACCCCAGGTGATGGGAACATGTTCTTGGAAAAACATCTTTAATGAAAAGAGGAAAAGATTGTGCTGTGTTTGGGCAACACTGCCATTTTTTATCACACAATCCCTTTGCCTATTATTTGCATGAGTTACAACTAACATTAATGTGGAACATTTCAGGGACTCCAGCAATACTCCATCTGAAGTACTAGTACAAAGTTGCACTTCTCAAGTAGGTTGGGAAAGGATGATGAAGAACATCTAGATCTGGCACTGAAGGGAAAAAGTTGCTGGTTGTTTGTCCAGCTGGATGGGGAAAGATGTAGGCTTCAGAACCAATCATCCAGTTAAATAATTTTAGATTCCAGTCTTCATGGTTTAAGCACTTTCTTTCTTTAAATACTAATCCTTATGCTAGAGTTTCTTCACATTATGGTAATCTCCAGTTCTGCTTGATTTAGGGTCCCTTCTGTTCTTTCTTATGAATGGGACTCTGGGAAGTGGCTCTAAGTCCCACCATAATGGTAACACTGTTCAGAACAGGCAGTAGAAGAGCTTGAAACAAAAATGTACACAGTGCTTTCATTAAATGTTTAACAAGGATTAACATGTCATGTAAACAGCACAACCCTGTCAGAACTGGGATGAGGCAGGGTTAGTTTTAACCCCAAACAGCATCAATGTTATTTTGGATTAAACTAACATTAGTCAGCTGTGTCCTATGAACATATAAGAGAGTTAACAGATAGTTAAGGCTCCTATTCTCCAGCCAGATAGAGGGAAAGGTTGAAAGTAGTAAAATGGATGTTCTCAGGAGGCTGGAACCTCTTTCCCCTAAGGCTTCACAGATAATAATACATAATGTATAAGATAACAATCTATTTCGAGACCAGATTTTTGACTGCTTGTTGCATTAGTTTTTTTTTAATGAACACATTTTTAGTATGTATTGTTTTTAACCATTGTTGGTTTCATTTAAGATTGTTTTTATTGGTCTCTTGTAAGCCTCCAGGGTTCTTCCAGGAGGAAAAGTAGCATAGAAATAAAATTAACAAGAGTTAAAAAATAGCACAGTGTCCAGGAATTATGTGGCTTAGTGTTACCAAATTTGGACTGCCAACATCCAGATGACCAATAGATGGTCTGGAAGAAGTAGACTTTTCACATATCTCCTTCCTGCCATCTGCTGGTCACCTAGATGTTTACAGTCCAGATCTGGTACCCTAAAATGGCCACAAAAAAAATTGCCATCTTTTGCCAGTTGGCATGATGCTCTGCATGCATCTGTCAAAGATTCTCAGAACCCTAAATGGTTCAAAGCGATCTCTGATTATGTAGTTTGAGGATGTCTCTCCCCGTTAAAAACAGTTGAATGCAAAGGTAGTAAAGAAACACGGGAAATGTCCTATAAAACAATAACCTGAGAATTTTCTTTAGGGGGCAACAGGAAAATCATCCAAGATAAAAAAAATCATGAAACAGATGGATACTGACTCCACGAATGAAGACAAATTAGTCATGGAAGTAAACACTGAACCATCAGAGGAGAAAACTACCAACAAACTACCAATAAGGAAAAAAACAACTGACTGTCAAGGAATCAAGGTTTAATGGCTTCTATATTATTCCATTTTTCAAAAAAATATTGAGAATGTATTCAGTTTTGCAACAATTAGGTCTTCCAGATAAAGACGTACTTCTACTACTGGGGCCAGGTGAACTTTCCACTGATTACTTGATTCTGCAACCAGAGGTTTGAAACTGCAAGCACTCTCAAGAGATCTCTGTGCTAAGGCATTGGAACTGTACTGGAGAAATGCCATTTCAAAGTAGTGGGTGCTACTACAGAAATGGAAACATTGCAATGTCAGGAGCTTGAAGGAGTTGTCTCTATTCTCACTGGGGGAGATTCTTGGCTTTTCCAGCTTCCCAGCTACTGAACTAATGTTGCATCATTAGATCAAGAAGCCCAATTGCAAATCTGCTGGCTGGCTTATAGTAGGAGTTGGGATGGTAATGGAGGTTTTGCACCATGACAAGTGCACTGGGATGAGTTTCAGACTATCCTGGTTGTCAAATGGTTGTACTTCATAGACCTAGCTACATATTACTTGCATAAAGTTTAAATACATATTAAGTGCATAAAGCTATGCATTAACATCTTTTGTTTCACTTCCTCCACTGCCCTATGACATTTTGGAGGCCTCCTTCTGGCACTTTCAGTAACCAGAGAAGGTTTCTACAAGTGCAACTTTGCCCATCCCAACTTTGATGGAATCCTTTGACATCATAGATCAAGTCGCTGTTGGCCCTATATATACTTGAGATATAAGGACAGTTCTCCAGGCTTTCTGAATGTTCTTTCGGCAATCTGATTTAAAAACACAACCATCCCCCTGGAATAACTTCTTAAGCACTTGTGGCTGGTCTGAGTTATTGAAAGCCAATCTGCTTTGGGAGAAACAAGGAGATGATCTTGCAGCCTAAAACTGGAACAGTGCTGCCTGCTGGAAGATTCCTTTGTTGTTTCTTTCAAGGAGGTGGGATGAGTCTATGGGCAAAGAAAACTGACTTCTCTATCTCTGCATTGGGGAATTGATCTGAATATTCCACAATACTGCTCTCTTCAAAATACATCAGAGAGAAAGCTTATCTTTCAACAAGTCCCAGTCCTCTTGTGCAAATCAATCTATCTGCTGGCCAGTAGACAAACAAGGACACAAACACAACCCTGACCTTTGACAGCCATGTGCAGCATAGTCATAAACATCCCAAAGTTCAAATTGGAATCTATTTTGTCAATTTACCTGTAACCATCTGATGCCAATGATTGTAACTTTTAGCCTATGTAACCAGGGAACTGATGAAATAACAAGAGGCTATGCTGACAAAACTGGATAATATTTAAGCAATTATTAACCAGTAGGGAGGGAAGGAAGGAAGGAAGGAAGGAAGGAAGGAAGGAAGGAAGGAAGGAAGGAAGGTCTTCCTCCAGTCGCACCCACACACCTAGCCAGCCATGGCTGATCTTGAAAAGCATAACAGAATTGTACCTCATTAGTCATTGGAACAGAGATCACCAGGAAATCCTGGGGTTGTACACAAAAGTGGGAAGTAGAGAAAAATCAACCCAAAGTTCTTCAAACAACATCTAGTGGGCTATACAGATTTTTACACCTCCTCTAACTCTATACCTTTGCTTTTTCTCAATATAAGTGAAAACCAATTCTTTACTTCAGTGGGAAAAAACGAAAACATTGTGCATACAGACAATATTATGATATGAATAAAATCTCTCTGCTAAACTCAGGGTCAGTGGCATCCTGCATCCAATCAGGGTGATGGGCTCTTTCTGACTCAAACAGTGTGCTAGCTGTTTGATTACTTCTCTTGTTAAAGAATTCTTTAAAGAATTCTCTTGCTAAAGATTGCCCTTTAAGAAATGTGTAGGTGGCATCAGGGGCCTACAGATCTTATTACCCATATGGCTGCTCCCATCTCTTTGTCATCCAGATGTCACTGTGGACAGAAGGACTTTCTTTTTCAAACCTCTGTACTTGCTGGATGCAGAGAACTGTCCTTAATAAGGCATCAAGGCCTTATCCCCAAATTTGGATAGTCATTTTGTTGTTTTATTGTTTCACTATTGTTTGTGGGTGTGTGTATGGTGGCTTTAGATTTGTTCTGTTGGGTTTTGTTGCCTTTGTAAGCTGCCCAGAGTCACCTTGGTTGAATTGGGTGGCCATATAAATGATTTAAATAAATAAATAAATGTCAAGCCAATATGTCATTCAGCCATACTGACTGAAAATTCCTTGGTTTAGGGGAATGTCCTTACTTACTTTGCTCAGACATACAAGGATATTTTCTGTATATCAGTATATAGCTTTGAAATAACACTTTGCCATTGACAGTTGGCTAAAAACATTGACCTCCTAGCTTTCTTTTTCTTTTGGGGGATGGGATAGGGGGAGGAAGCACAGACCTATCCTTGGAAAGACATTGATTTCTCTGAGGGCTGGGAAGGTTAGTCCCATTTTCTGGAGAAAATTAGAATTCTAATTTTTTTTCTTTCCTCTTCGCTCTCTCTCCATTCCATCTTTTCTTAGGTTTTCCTTGCTGCCCTGACATTTACGTATTTTAGTAAAGTATTTGCTGGGACCATGATGAAAAGTTCCTTCACACAATTGGAAAGAAGATTTAGCATTTCTTCTTCTACAGCTGGCTTCATCGATGGAGGCTTTGAAATGGGTAGGTGGAACCAGAAAGACCAGTTGGCTATAGATGGGGAGCTTGATGTCATAGATATTACATTATTGACCACTGTTTTCTGCATCGGGAGAAAAAGGCCTCAAATCCATTGATATCTAGAGGTTCTCAGTGTCCCTCTATTTTAACACCTTCTCAAAAAACTTCACCATTCTGTCTTCCTGATCATCTTTCTCCAAGTTAGTGACAAATAACTCTGGTTGATCATAGAGATGTATCTAATCATTCAGAAGGTAAACCGCAAAATCCCAAAGATTGTGAGGACTCTATCGTGTCACCATCCTAGTGATACTGTCAAGACTTTCTGAACCTTGTTATTTGGGGGAGGAGACCTGTGTCCATTCAGATGACTTTGGATTCAGTTCCTGTTATTCTCATCCAGATTGAGCAGTTGATGGAGTTAGAAGTCAAGGAACATCTGGAAATATACAGATTTCACATCTCTGATCTAGATAAAAGGAGAGGCATAGACATTCCATGACAGCATACTTTCAGTTAGGGTTATTTAGAGTTTTATTATATTATAGTGCCATCTATGAAGAGAGCTGATCATTGACCAACCAGTGAAGTGGGCAGCATAAATAAGAAGTAGGCAACATGGTGTTCATGACACAAATGTGTCCCAAGCCCTTTCTTGGTGGTCACCAGTTCTCTGTCCCATCTGACTTTTAAAAAGAATATATTTGAATTTTTAAAAATTAAAGAGGGAGTTGGCATACTGCAAACTGCAGCACAGTGTCCATAGTGGGGGCAAAGGGGGTGAATGATGGAATGGCAATGTGTTGTCACAACTCAAGGTCATGACATTGCATGTACATATGAAAGGGAGGGAGTTTGCATCATGATGATGAAACATTCATTGCATCATTTTGACAAAGTTGTTTGATTCTACAGATATATTGCAGAAAATGTATTTGTAACACAGCCTTTAAGCCATACAAAAATCCCATTGGAATAGTTGAGAAAATACAGAGGAGGCTTGTTCACCTTCTACTGAGTCTTTTGTCACATGCCATGATCCATCACAGCAGTAATTTCTGACAACTCTTCCATGGCAGCCATTTTGTGACTATGAATCTCAAAATGTTTCCCTGGCCCAAAAAGGCTGACTGCTCTGGTCTTAATCCACCACAAGATTTTGACAGCTGGAATTAAACATCACTCAGCCATCATGCCCTAATGGAGAGCTTCTATACTGTCTTCCCAGGAAATTTGTTGGTGATTGCGTTTGTGAGTTACTTCGGGGCAAAATGTCATCGGCCAAAGATGATCGCTTTTGGTTGTTTTATCATGTCTTTTGGGAGCTTTTTAATGGCAATGCCTCATTTCTTCATGGGATAGTAAGTACAACAGATATAGATGAGAGAGAGAGAGAGAGATAATAGGCAGATGATAGATCTTTTATATCTCCATTCCTGGAAGACCATTATTGTAAAGGTTTATAAAACTTCCAGGTGGGACCTAAAAGAAAATCAACCACTTATGTGAGTAAATAATTTAGATTTGTCTCATAGAGGGGTGTTCAGAAAGGAACTGCATCAGTTTTGTGAATCATAAAGAAGTAGGAAATCCATATTATGCAAACTCTGGAGTTGGGTTCATATAGCATTCTTGACTTGAAATCCAAGTTGACAAAATAGAATTACTGTGTTCATGTAATGCTATGTGGGAATGATCTTGGGAGACCGGGTGAAGAGATGCTGCCTAGGGAACTGTCAGATAAAAGGGGGCATAGCCCACAGCTGCATAGTGGACAGAGCAAGAGGCTCAGAAGATGCTTCCTAAGTTATCAGGCTTTAAAGGTGATGGTGGGAGAATTGTACTTTCAGACTTGCAAGATTCTGTTAATGTAGCCTTACAATAAAGTAGAATTAGCTCATCTGGTCATGCTTCCTGTCTGGTCTACCTGGGAAGGCTGACAGCTCAGCACAGATATCCAGCAGAAGCCACAATGATACCAGAATGGTGTCATGTGCACCATGACACCATCACACAAATAACTCAAGTACATAATTTGTGTCATTTGTGTGATGATGTCATGATGGACATGCCATCACTCACTTCCCCCTTATCTGCCAGTGCCCATGGTGTGCATATATCAGTCTATGTCCAAATAAGTAAAATAAAGAGAATGGCCTGGTTCTCACATACACACCATAATGACTTGATTTCCCGCATGTTCAACCATAAACTATCCAACTCTTTTTTAGCCATTTTATCCTAGTCTATTGAAATTTTAAAATAAATTAAATAAATAAATAGTACAAATCTATCCATAACTGAGAAAAGAGTCAATCTCAGCTATCAGAGGATAGGAAAGTGGGTGTGATGGAATGGAATTATGAAGGCCAGGCTCAGGGAGATAAGCATTTTCTTAGCTCCCCAGAATAAGGAAAGTGGGTGTGATGGAATGGAATTATGAAGGCCAGGCTCAGGGAGATAAGCATTTTCTTAGCTCCCCAGAATAACGTGGGAGGAACAAGAGGATTAGACTGGCACCTCCCTGAGGAATTCACATTGTTGTGGCTGGGTGACTTTGAGAGCTGGGGTTTTAGTCTGGGGAGATTCTTGCTTGAGGTTTTAGGTAATAAACATAGCCGGACCGACTTTGCATTTGT